GATGCTGACATAGACAGTTGGTTCCCGTCGTTCAAGCGAGCGATCATTGACGCTGGCGCATGGAGTATCATGAGTGCTTATCACTCGTAAGTGTGTCTTGACAATACCGTAAGAAGCTGCTGACGTCCTTTTGCCTAGATATGACGGTATCCCTGCTGTTTCGGACTACCATACTCTGACCGAGATCCTGAGAGGCGAATGGGGCTACGATTACTTTGTCATGAGTGACGCCGGCGGCACAGACAGATTGTGCTCGGCGTTCAAGCTCTGCAGAAGCAACCCTATTGACATGGACGCCGTCACTCTCCAGGTTCTTCCCGCCGGTAATGATGTCGAGATGGGCGGTGGTTCTTTGTAAGTGCCATCTGGGATTTGATTATTCGCTTGCTGACATATGCAAAAGCAATTTCCGGAAGATCCCCGAACTGGTCAAGGCCGGCAAGCTTGATATCAAGACTGTCGACACCGCAGTCTCGAGACTGCTGAGAGCGAAGTTCGAGATGGGTCTCTTTGAAAACCCCTATCCCGCCGCTCCCAAGTCTCAATGGAACAAGCTCATCCACAGCAAGGAAGCCGTCAAGCTCGCTAGACAGTTGGACAAGGAGTCCATTGTTTTGCTGGAAAACCACAACAACACCCTTCCTCTGAAGAAGAAGGGCGACATTGCCGTTATTGGACCCATGGCCCATGGATTCATGAATGTAAGTGCCTCTGCAAAGCTCATGACACGTATAACGTCGCTCATAATGATTAGTACGGAGATTACGTGGTCTACAAGAGCCAGTACCGGGGTGTCACTCCTCTGGACGGGATCAAGGCCGCAGTTGGCAAGAAGGCAAATGTCCACTACGCCAAGGGATGCGAGCGATGGAGCAACGACCAGTCCGGCTTCGCCGAGGCCGTGGAGGCAGCGAAGAAATCGGACGTGGCTATTGTAGTGGTTGGCACCTGGTCGAGAGACCAGATGGAGCTGTGGCAAGGACTCAACGCAACGTGAGTCACCCCAGTCCGAAACCCAAACAAATGGCGCTGCATCGCGTAACTAACCCTCACGCAGAACCGGCGAACACGTCGACGTAAATGACCTCTCCCTCGTCGGCGCCCAAGCCCCCTCATCAAAGCCATCGTCGACACCGGCGTCCCCACCATCGTCGTCCTCAGCAGCGGCAAGCCCGTAACGGAGACCTGGCTCTCCAACTCCACCGCCGCGCTGGTCCAGCAGTTCTACCCCTCCGAGGAAGGCGGCAACGCCCTCGCCGACGTCCTCTTCGGCGACTACAACCCCTCCGGCAAGCTCTCCGTCAGCTTCCCCTCCTACGTCGGCGACCTCCCCATCTACTACGACTACCTCAACTCCGCCCGCTCCATCGGCGACTCCGGCTACGAGCTGCCAAACGGCTCCCTCGTCTTCGGCCACCAGTACGTCTTCGGCAGCCCCTCCCCTGGTACCCCTTCGGCTACGGCAAGAGCTACTCCACCTTCGAGTATGGGCCTGTCACTGTCGACAAGGCGAACGTCACTGCCTCGGATACCGTCACTATTAGTGTCGACGTCACGAACACACACAAGAGCATGGATGGGACGGAGGTCGTGCAGGTGTATATCCAAGACGAGATCGCGTCGGTTGTGGTGCCGAATCGCCAGCTCAAGGGGTTCGAGAAGGTGGTCATCCCCGCAAAGAAGACCAAGACTGTTAAGATCCAGATCAAGGTGCAGGATCTGGGGCTGTGGAACTCGGCGATGAAGTATGTTGTTGAGCCGGGGGCGTTTGCTGCGTTGGTGGGGAGCAGCTCCGCGGACATCAGGGGCAATGCTACCTTTTACGTGCAGTAGAGTGGATGCTGTTGGGGCTTTTGTCCAGGTGGGCCAAGGTTGCGCGTTTGGGGCAGGTGTATATAGTTTATTATGAATTAATTGTCTACATGGCATGGCATTTGGTAGATTGGCGTATGCCTGCTATGTTGCAGTAACCATGGAGCTGTGCTTCGGCATAAAATATGTTAACATGACAATTTGTCGTCTTCTGTTGATACTTTTCCATATTGTGTTCAATGGGTGAAGCTTGACTGTAGCACATTTTGAAAGATCTGGGGAGGATGCCGCCTAGAGTTACTATGTCTAGCACAACCCAACCGACCTGCCCAGCTAGCTATCAGAGGTATCCCCTTTCGCCTCTGGCCCTGTACTTTCATTCTCCGTGTCGCCATCCGATTTTGACTTGGCGCTCTCAGCCTGCTCCTGGGTATTGGGATCGGGATTGGGAGTAGCTCCGGGCTTGTCACTACCCCTGACCGTATCCGCCGTAGAAGAAGAACCCGCAGCAGCTCTACCCTCCGCCCGTCTAGTCTTCGCTCCTTCCTTCAATTTCTCCCATCGTTCTCGGTAGCGACCCAGAACGTCCCGTAATTTCTCGTTCTCACGGCGGACGCGCTCCAGCTCTTTCTCGTTGCGGCGCATGCGCTCTTCCAGTTCCTTGATACGCTGGTCCGAGTCCAGTGCAGCGGAGGGAGAAACAGCGGCGGAGGAGCCCTGAGCAGCGTAAGGATGGTCGGGCCACGGGCCGTTGTGGTGGTGCATTGCTTTTAGGGACTGCTGCAGAGCCATGGAGGATGACTGCGCGTTGACTTCCCACATGTGCAGCCGTTTGGAAAGGGTGTCGGATAGATGCTTGAGCGCCTGATTCTCCATCTGTAGTTCCTCCATCGTTTTGGGGTTGTGCAGGCTGGTGAGTTTGTCTGCGGCGCGACTCGCCCGGCCGCGTGAGCCCGTCAGACTCTGGCGCAGCTCAGGCGATGCAGGAGTCTCGCGCGCATCGACAAAGTCATCGTCCGCTTCATCGAGGCTGTTGCGTCGGGCTTCCTTCTCGGCCCGGGTGAGGATACCGGCGTACGACACTGTGCCCCCTGTGGTAGGCACGACGTAGAACGATTCTGCGGTGTTCCCTGCTCCGTTGCCGTTTGAGTCTCGGATGGCGCGGAGGGCGGCGCGGGAGAAGATCTTGCTGACGTCTGGCTCGGTGAACTGGCCGATTCGGTCAGAGGTTGCTTGATGGCGATCGACTTTGGTGTCGGCGGATGATTTGCGTATTGCGGAGTCGGACTGCGTGGGTGTCTGTGATCCCAGCGGGAGACCGGCAAATGCTAGAGGTGCGGAAATCTTAGAGATGAGACCTTCAAAAGTCGAGTAGAAGCGTTGGAAGGGTTCCTCGGAGGGTGCAGTCTTGTTCTTCTGCCGACCTGGTTCGACCACTTCCGGCGGGACGAATTGCTGACATGTGATTTCGGTAGGACTGGTGACTGGCGGGGACCAGGGTTGTTTTGATGCAGATACGCCGCTCGGATGGTCCCTTAAATTATGGGCTTGCGTTCCTCGTAGTCTTGACTCTCCGGTCTTCAGCTTGCTGGGACCCTCGGTCATCCTCGCCCCCGCCTGTTGCGAGGATACAGTGGGGGAAACGGGAGAGGCACGGCGGGGTTGAGACGGTATTCCTCGTGCAGAGGCCAGGTTGCTGGCAATGGAGGAGGTTTCTCTTGCCGGTAACCGAGTGTTGCCAACCAATCTAGGCGGCTGCTGCTGCGCTTGCTCTGGTGAGGTCGGGGATAACTTGGTCGTTTCCGATTCTCCAGTTCCCGTCTGCGCGGTGGCGGCGGATGTAGGACTGACTGGATTCTCATGTTGAAAGCGAAGGATTTGAGCGAGCTTCTTATGATGATGCTCAAGCAGTTGGAGAGTACGCAAGGCCTGTGAGACAGATAATGAACACCGCGTTAGATCTTGACTGAATGTTGAATTTCAGCAATGCAAATGTACCTCACGGTCCGAACTATTTTGTGCAGCTGTCGCAAATTCGCCAGCAGCCAGGTCGTGTTCCTCACTCGCTGCCACGGGATTGGCTTTGCGCGTCTCTAGGACGGCGTTGCGGGCGTGGGTGTGAGCCTAACTCGGTGGTGTTAGTAGGATGGAATACGGCGGAACATAGAGGACCAGCACTTACCAAGGTGAGCGGCGCAGTCTCCATGGCTGCCGCATGGATGCAGACTGTACCTGATGATCTTGTATCGAGTTGTCAAAAGCAGCTCAGTGAGATGGCAGGAAGAGCAGGAAGAGATAACGTGATAAGAGGAAGTGACGCCATACGCAGACCGCCAAAGTGAATGAATGCCGTAGGAGCCTAAGGCATCAAATGAAACCGTGACATTTACCTTTCCTTTACCTTTTGCAATAAAGGTCCTGATCCGGACAATCGCATCTTGCACCCTTCAGGAACAGGACGAATTTGAAAGCACTACCTTTACTATGTAACTTGGTCTAGTTCGTACTCCTGCCCCTATCGACCTAAATGATTGATCTAGAATCTTGATGCCAAAAATATGTAACGAAAAAAAGCCACGGACTCCACTCCCAATCCAAAAATAAGCGTGGGCCAGGTCCAGGGTGACTTCTGAAAGTGTAATACCGCTTCATGACAGCCATTACATGCTGGGTGTGCACGGCCTTATAGGGGAGCTGGTAATACAAATACGGCCGCTTGCTGCTGCGGAGGTGAACCTGTCGGTGGTCGTCGTCATTTTCCAAGTGGCCTCCTCAAGCTTCTTCTCCATCGTGTCCCTCGCTGACTTTCGTTCATTTTGCTTCATTTTTATCTACTCTTTATCTACAAGTTCTGATCCCTCGATTTTTGAAAGTAGAAGACCAGCATTCTCTTCCCTCTGTTGTGAAACCATGCTGCTGGGAATGCGGTCGTCCACAACCGCTCCCCCCATGCTATTTCTTCCCCCTCCTCCCTATAATTGTACAGCCTGAATTCATTCCAGCCACCAGTTCTTGATGGAGGCTTAGGCAAGGATTCTATACTTCGATTCTGCCACACTCAAGAACCGGCGTAAAGGTTTCCTTCAGGTCATTGATTGGACTGGAGTAAACATTACTCACATTCTGCGTCGGCTCCTCGACCCGTCCCCTCCTTACCTTCCCTTTTTCCGCACTCCGCTATATTCCTCATGGATGAACCCACGATCCCGGAGCCTCCTCCGGTTCCCCAGACTGAACCACCAGGTTTCAGTAAATCCAATCGAACCTGGACCACTCCCGCCGACTTAGACACCATGTGGAGCTCCGGCCGCAGCAATGGGCGCGCGTCAATTTCATCCGGTTCTGATAGACCTAAATCACAAGCAGGCGAAGTAGCCGAAACCGCAAAGGCAGGTTCCAGCGGGTTCTCCAAGCTACTGAATGCTCGGCGGAAGCGAAAGAAGGAGAAGGAGCAGAAGCAAACGGAGGAACTATCACTAGTCTCAGAGAATGGCCAGGACCTGCAGGAGAGTCGATCAAACGAGTCTCGCGGCGAGTCCTCCTCGGCGAATGACAATCTGAGCCCGCCAGGCGAAGTCATCACTCTTCTAACTGACGACTCAGAGCCTGATCGGTAAGCCTTAACGCATAGCTCGTCTACCATACAGGAGAAGCATTTTAGTTACTGACACTCCCCCGTTACATCTGAAGGACTCCTCCTCTCACTACTCGAAACTCCCATACCGGCTTCTACACTTCCTCCTCCCCATTAATCAAGACTACCTCTGTGGACCCGAATGACACCGACGAGACGCAGGCAGACGTCGAATCCGCCGCCAGTGTTCCCAGTGCAACTGCCTCGGAGACTTTCCTGGAAGGAGAACTCTCCAGACCCGCTACCTCATCGGGCCCTATGTTGAGTATCCCAGAGGAGCGCAGCAGTAAGAAGCGCAGCGTCTCGCCGGGCAGGCGGCTGAAAAATGCATTTAGCTCCAATTCAAACAAGAAGGATACCAATCGCGAACGAACATCTTCTACCTCGGGCGCGAGTACGAAGAGCGGTGGCCTGTTGAGCAGAAGAAGCAGTCTCTCATCGAAGCGAAGTCAGACCATGGAAGTCGAGCCCCCTTCTGTACCCCCGCTAATTCTGACGGATGTCAAGGAGGACAAGCCTCTGCGGATTTCTGATGGACCCAACCCACCGAGAACGCCGCCACATACTGCGCACCCTGCACCTCAAACAACCGTGACCCCTCCCACTCCGACTATTAGTCGCTCAGAATTCCCTAAATTATTCTCCTCCCCTGACGTCACAGAGTCTCCAGAGTCTGTCAAGTCAAAGGACCTACCGTCGGGCGTCATTGTAAGCACGTCTGGAAACATGATCTCGCACCGACGTGTGCGGTCTGCGTCCTCTGCGTCTCACAAGCCTAGTAAACTCTCAAACTCTATATCCGCGTTGACCCCTACCGCCGAAGAACCAAAAGCTCCTTCCAGGTCTCCGTCCAGCAACCTGCAAACTGGTTTCTTCTCCTCCGTCTTTTCTGCCGCTCAGAATGCCGCGTCGACTCTGAGTAGCAGCCTCAATCCACAAGCCAAGGCGCGGACAGTGGCCCAACCTGAACCCGCAGCCTCTGACGAATCACAGTCCAAGGGCACAGCGGAAGGCTCGAAAGAGACTGAGAGGCCAACCGGGGAAAGGAAACCATCTGCCATCGATACGCTGGGGTCTGGGGACTTGAATTTCAGCCATCTTGACATTGGTGCGCCCTCTGGCGGTTCTGTTTCGACTCCTGATGGCCTTGTGATCACGAAACCTGATAGGGCACCCGAGAAACGTGCCGCTTACAAGAAAGATGAGGAGGCAGCAAGACTTGAGGATCAACACGCTGCGCGTGCGGTCTATATGGCTTATGAAAAACCTTCTGAACAATCGTCAGCGCATCCGGCAGAGGAGGGCCTGGAGTTGCAATCAACCAACTCCCTTTCACGCGCGGATGGTGATCAGACCACTCCGAGCGGTAGCATATTCGAGGGCGAAACTGGCACTCGGCCTCATCGAAGCGGAAGCGTGCGAAGTCGACTGGCTCAGAGGCGTCATCGAGGCTCTTCCGGTGCGACCGCATCGACGGTGGGACTGGTTGGTGCTAGCGCTATCGCCCTGGGGTACCGGGCGCCAATGCCAGTGTTCCTCGCCTGACAGGGTTCGCTGTGGCGAGTAAGAAGAGAAACCGGGATTTCCATCAACTGTTCCGTAGTGTTCCCGAGGATGACTACCTCATCGAAGATTACAGCTGTGCCTTGCAGAGAGAGATCATCCTGGCGGGGCGTATCTACATCTCCGAAGGGCACATTTGCTTCTCCAGCAACATCCTCGGCTGGGTTACCACTCTCGTTATCAGTTTCGATGAAATCGTGGCCATAGAGAAAGAGTCAACTGCGATGGTGTTTCCCAATGCAATAGCCATCCAGACATTGCACGCTCGTCATACTTTCCGAAGTCTACTCAGTCGAGAGTCCACGTATGATCTGATGGTGAACATCTGGAAGATCAACCACCCCGCCCTCAAGAGCTCCGTAAACGGAACAAGGGTTGCGACCGGTACCGGTGATAAAACCGAAAAGGCTGGCGAGAGCGAAGTCGAGAGCGATGATGACGAGGAAGAAGAGATCTACGATGAGGATGAGGAGGGTGACAACGCTGAAAGCGTCTTCGGACCAGGAGGCGCCAGTGCGAACGCCAGCGAGCGCTCACTCCCTACGAAAGGACTGAGCCGGCAAGCCTCCGGTCTGCTTCAGAATGGCAATGGTACAGCGCCGACTGCGGTGCCCAACTCCAACGGAGAGTCGAAGTCTGGCAAACCGAGTCCAGGTGGGGATGTAGACGCTGACTTCCCGGGCCCGGCGACTCACCCGCCAACGGAGTATACTGAGCCCAACGGCCAGTATGACAAAGTCATCAAAGACGAAATCATCCCAGCCCCTCTCGGTAAAGTGTATTCTTATGTCTTTGGACCGACATCCGGCTCGTTCATTCCCAAGTTCCTTGTTGAAAACCAAAAGTCCGGCGAACTCCAGTTCGAGAGTGAAAAGAAAGGCCTTACAAACGAAAGCAGAACCAGGAAATATTCATACATCAAACCGCTCAATGGCTCCATTGGTCCCAAGCAGACCAAGTGCATCAGCACTGAAACCTTGGATTTTCTGGACCTAGAGAAAGCTGTACTCGTCACCCTTTCGACGCAGACTCCCGATGTGCCTAGTGGGAATGTATTTTGCACCAAGACCAAATATTTGTTCACATGGGCACCGGGCAATCAAACACGGTTTTTTATGACTTGCACGATTGAATGGTCGGGCAAGAGTTGGTTGAAAGGTAACATCTGTTTTCGCAGCTTGATAACGTGGACTAACGCTAAGAACATATAGGTCCTATCGAAAAGGGTGCCATTGATGGCCAGACCACATTCGGCAACGAGCTTGTCGCCGCCCTCAAAGCCGCGGTTGCTCCCCGTGCTCGTGGCGCTGGCGCTACCAAAGCAGGCGGTAAAAATGGTAAACGTAGAAAGAACGATACGGGGGCCGAAGAGGCAGCCACTGTGGCCTCTAACACGACTCAGGATGCGAATGTGTTGCAGGCCAAGTCTTGGGGCTTTCTGGAGCCAGTCCATGGGCTGCTTGGGCCTGTTGTGGATATCCTCAAGCCGCTGTTGATTGGCAATGTTACTGTTCTGGTTATTGGCATTCTGCTTTTCATGGTCTTGTTCCGAAGCCCCTCTCAAACGTCGCGGGTGTCGCATGATATTGGATGTCCTGGTTATTCCTTACCTCAACGGCTGGCTGCCTATGAAGAAATGTGGCGAAGGGAGGAGAGTGAACTCTGGAGCTGGCTGGAGGATCGAGTTGGCATGGAGGGGATGGCCTTCCCGGCAGCTAACCGACCCACCGATTCCCAGCTGCGCCAGGATTCCCCTCACCTACTGGATAAGCTGCGCAATGAGAGGATGTCTGATCGCGAGATGAACCATGCTATCAGGACTACTCGCGAGCGGCTCGACATCCTCGAAGAGATATTGAGCAGACGAAACTCGCAAAAGACTACCGACGATGAGGCGCTACATCGTGAACTGTGAATGTCCATGGAAATGGATCACAGCCTTTTTTCACACACCTAACAAATCCCACGTCTGGCTCCTTGGTTGAATCAGCTGAGACTTGACGTGTCACTCACTTGATTTCATTTTCCCTCTAATCTTCGTACCTCCATATCCTTGTTCAGCGGGTCGTTTGCTCTTCGAACTGACTTACCTTTCGTCTTGATTCCAAAATCTATGTTCGACAGCGATCAGCTATTAGCGTGAGATCCAGTCTCACACTTTCCCCAGCCATTGTCTCCTTGCTCATATCTCTGTACAGTTTGCTTGAGCCTCCATAGTTTCCTTTGGCATTTGAATATCTTGTAAATGAGCGCCAACTGCATGTCTATATCACCTCCCTCTTTGTTTTCCTCTTGTTTTGGGACCCCCTCTTGAGTTGTATAGGACGATTTTCACTTCGCTCAGCGCATAGAATGCAAAATCTTTTGTCATGGTACAATTTAAGGTCACTACAGCTGGTGGATCCGTAATACAAGATCATGTCATGCTACGGAGATATGGAGGCTTATGATGTTGGAGCAATCACATCAAGATTTGGAAGCAAACGCTCTAAACGGCCTTGAATCTTGGACAGAAAGATCTCTAGCGAGTTGTCAAGCAAACAAACTATATAGCAACACACTCAAGTACGCCAAGCGGACATGGACAGAATCGACTCCAAAATGCCATATATGAGAGCCATAATTATAATGCACATATATAACGTGTGATGTGAACTGCAGGTAATTAGGTAGGGTGAATAGGTGATCGCACAGGCGGATATAATACATGGCGACGGGGCGCACCGATGCCCAAAGCGATCGGGTATATTCGTAGTCTTCGTAATACAAGTAGACAGGGGGAAGGAAGAGGAATGAAGTTGTCAAGGCTATGACGTAACTTTCAACGGACGTTGGTCGAGTGACTTGCGCGACTGATCCAATGACTTCCTCAACTCGATTGATTTGCGCATCTCCTCCTTGCGTTTGTTCTTCTGCATTTTCTTCGCGGCTTCCTCAGTGAGCTGTTGGCGGAAGAGGCGCTCGACGACGTCCTTCTTGCGGGTGCGGCGGTCGCCGATCATGATAAGAACGCCGCCCATGATGTTGCAGGTGATGGAGCAGCAGAGGATGACGGTTGTGAGGGCGAAGGGGCGCACGTGGTAGTTGATGCCCCATGTGCAGGCGCCGAGGGCGATCTGGAAGAGGGAGTGGCAGTCGAGGAGGACGACGATGGCGATGAGGAGGCGTAGTGGGAAGGCGTGGTGGGTGTATGTTTCGTGAGGCTTGTAGAAGGTATGGGATTTGGCGAATTTGTCCTGGTGGTGCATGAGTTTGCGCTGTTGGGTGGGGTTGAGCACGGAGAACTCGTGCTTTTCATCCTTGGGGGAGTCGCCGAGCTCGACATCGACGTCGACGTCTGCTTCGCCGCGCTCGGGAAGGTCGTTCTTGTCCCTGAGCGCGGGGAGGTCGCGCTTCTTGCGTATCTTCCAGGTTAGAAAGGTGTAGTGTGCAATGAAGATCATGTGGTACGTGTCGATGGCTCGGAAGGGGGCCAGCCCGTCACCCATGACCGCGAATAAAGCCACAAGTACGTTGTCGATGACATTGATGACGTATAGTTGCCTTCCTCCCACATTGATCCAGCCTTTTTTGTATGTCAGCGTCGGGATTTGGTAATATCTGAGGAGGAAAGCATACCAATAAGGAAAAGCACCCACGCAAGTCCAAAAAGGGTGATGAGAGTTGCGTATAGAGTAACTAAAAACCCCAGCGCTGTCGACAAACTGCTATTAGCCACGGATCACAAGAGCAGCCGAAACATGCCGTCCAGCGACTTACGTTTCGACACATATTTGCCAAATCCAACCATGGACCGCTTAAAGGCTGAACGTCGGGAATGTAACATATGTCTGACCCGATCGTTCAACTCCTCCAACTCTTCCTTTGTCCATCCTTCCAAGGTCATTTCCTCCGGGAGAACAGCAAATTGGCGCTCGGGGCCCTCGTCTAGCACGGAGGAGAGGCGGTGGGCTAACGTCGGACGGGTCTGCTTCGTGTCCGTCTCAGTTGCTTCACCCTCCTCGGTCTCTGTACTTGACTCATCGCGAGGGCTGGGCGGCGAGAGGGTATATGTGGGCATGCGGTTGATCCAACTACCTAGGTTGGGAACAAAGAGAGAGTTTTGCACGTTGGTGAGGGTAGATAAAGCCGCTACTTCGGGGTCTGGAGAGTGTACCCGGATCAGCAACTGGTCGCATATAAATCTTCGCTCACAAGTACTCACCAATAACGTCCAGCACATCTACCATGTGAGGGTGATATTCATTGACATTCGGATTCGGAGGCGGCGTGACAGGAACAGTGCCATTGACAGTTGACGCGCGATTCCGCGAGAATCGATTGAGAGCTGCTTCGCTGGTCCGACGCAAGACATTCCGGCTTCCTCTTCTTGGAATTACCGGTGGAGGAGGCTCAAGGTACGCTGTCGAAAAGGGCTGGGAAGAAGGAAGCTCGGCAATTGGACTGTGAGGGCTTGACGGCTCCTCCTTCAGAGAATACATGGGCATCACGTTCGTCTGATCACCTGTCGTCAACAGCGGAGGAACGAACGAGCTGGACGCAGACCAACGGCCTGGACGAGGCTCGGAGCTGCTACGCCGGCGACCCTGCCAGACAGCACCGCCATCATCTCCATCGCCACCATCGCGAGTTCCATCATTCGGTGTCCCGTCATACTGAACGGCTCTGGTAGCGTCGGGCCCTAAGATATGAGAATTCCTTCGAGAAATTAATGCGTCCTCACAGCCGGCGCTCAACGTATTATTGTTGTCCGCATTTCCCTGCGCCTGTAAACTGAGGCTATTGATTGAGGGTGGGCGTTGGATGCGGATGCTTGGACGGCGCGAGCGGAGTGATGGGGCGCGCGGTCGGAGATATGACGTTGTCCCTCCAGGTATCGCATCATTGGAAGAAGGCGGGTGGTGGTCCTCAGAGGCATCGGAAGAGCCGCCCACAGGCTCTATGCGATCCATTGGGGATAACTGAAGAAAAAAAGGAGTGTAGTCCTTTCTCTCGAAGAGGAGGTGCAGAGGACAGGGAAGAGTTTAAGAAGGTTTTGCAGAGGCAAATTGGATGTGGTGAACCAGCAGCCGGACACTGGACGAGGCATTGGTTGAGAACCAGGACCAGAACCACTAACCAGCCATTCAGCATGTCCGAAAGAAGGCCGGACTCCTTGACTAATCAGTCAACTATATGGCCTTTAGGGTATCATCCATGGCTCTCTCAGGGCTTATCAATCTGCCTGTAGCCGTGTAACCCGTCGAATTCCCGTCAATAAGAGTGTCTGCAGTGGTGCAGTCTCCACAGCTAGCGACGTCCTTGTGCCGTTGACGTCGAGGCACAGGAGGAGATCGTCCTGGCACACCATGGTCTCTGCAAGGATTGGCCAGCGCCATTTTACTTCCTCTCACACTTTGTCATCCAAGACTTGCTGTAGTCATTAATTATCACAAGCCACAGTACTATAATATGCAATAATAGATCACTGTTGACGTGTTATATAACTCGATTCTGCACCTGGAGGAAAAAGAGTTGATGCCTGAGGCCTAACATCATCTGACTATTAACAAGACGCCACTAAAGAGTTATGTTGAGTAAAAAAGCACAGAATAAATTGATAAGTATTCTAGCACAGTGAATGTCCCAAAATTAAGCATGTCTTAATTAAGGAAAAATGATGGTAGTGGGAGAATTCACTATAGTAAATCTATCCTACATTCACTTTACGGACTCCTGTAGATTAATATATAAAGGGCCGAATCTACTCTGTAGACGTCTACATTGCTCTTCTCTCTTCCTTCTATGCAAACATATCTCCTAAGAGCTGTTTTTTCAAGTCTCTTTAGTCAAACCACCCTTACAATAAAGCGTGCACGACTGCTTTCAAAAAGCGCCAGCATAAGTGAGTGTCACGCTATGATATTAGAGGATGAGGGAGTAACACAGCAACGCCACCTCAGCTATCTGCATATTCTATCCCAATCAGTCAGGCCTTGAAGACCTGCCAGGGCTCTCGGACTTTAGAACACATCCTGACAATGACTGAAAAGAAGACGACTCGGACCCTCAAGTCTGATATTGCCTCAAACAGCAAGAGACTCTGCAACGGTACGTATCAGCTAATTGAAGCTGAGAAAGAAGTGCTAATGTATCTCACTAATTTCAGTCAAAGAGCCTAAGCCACAAGCAAAGAAAGAGCCAGAGGTGCCCAGCAAAAGGACGAGTAGCAATCCAGGACCTACTGTCCTCAAAAAGGCAAAGCCCCCAGTGAAAGAACAAAGTCCCGCCGCTACAGAGAGTAACGAACCAAGCCTTAAGGTGAATGATAAGGCTGTTGGAAGCATCAACAGTAGCCAGAGAGGAGATTCGACCGTTCCAGTCAAAGACTCAAGCAGTCACCAAGCAGGCTATAGGCAGAATAATTGGCCAGGACGATGCTCAGCACTGCAGTTGGCCTGTCGTTCCGTCGCTCCTGTCGCTCCTGTCACGCCCTTTGATGCTGGACCTGGAGCCCAGTACTACACTCTGCCTGTGGGACACTCTTGCGCCACTCGCTCCATTCGGTATACAGGCGGGAAATCAACCAAATGTACAGTACAGTACCCAGTGGGCAAACCCCTACCCAGAATCATTCTCCAGAGACATGGCGTGGACGGTCACACAAAACTTCCCGTGGGATTAGTTGCGCAAGAACATGGATGAACAGTCCCCGAAGTCTCTGTGGCATTTTGCGCGCCAATCTTTGCCATCCTGGGTGACCCCGAATCCATCTGGAAGAAGAGCATCTCACCACAGCTCAGTTTGGTAACATGATGATCCATGAGTGGTGGAAGTATTACTTAAGCGCGTTGAAACCAAGAGGACGCATGAACCAGATGATGCAGCCGCCGACCCGAGCAACCATTTTCACTCCGAGCATAGGGACATGGCCGCAGACAAAGATGGTTGAGACTCTTCGCGAAAACCCAGCGCTCGGAATCTCTCATCGCGTATTCCTAGATGGACATGGGAAGAGTTGCATGCCAGGATCAAAGAGGAGGTTGAGATGGTGGAGCGTCGATGGCAGGAGCATAGGAGCCGTCATTAAAGCTCTGCATACGGAGTACTGCAAGCTACAATGGGGTCTTGCAAGTGGGGACAAAAGGCCATGGAGATAGTCAATTCGACGGTAATCGCTAAGGAAATTCATGGATGGCAGTCAACAGCGATCGAAAGTGCTGTGGGTTTGGTAAACTGTGGAGCCCAACCCAACGAGCACGAGCTCACTTCCTTAAAGGATCAAGTCTGGGATCTGCCATAGTGGTCTTGGCTGCATTCAGCAGTAACACAGAAGACAATACTCATTATCCATGAATCCAGCATGTTTTACTCCCGTCTGACCTAGTGTGGCATGACAATATCATATGAAATTCGTAAATCGTACCATACTTCTGCCGTAATATCTAATAACCCGACTATTGCTTCAATGTTTGGTACACTAGGCCTACTAGCCACCGGAGAGTGGATAGCGGTGATGTCAACACTGTCCAGAACCTGACTTTCTGTGGTCTGCCTGGCGGAAGAGTCCTTAATGGAAGCTAGGAGAGCCCCTTCGATCCCCCTAAGGCCCAGGAAGGCTTAGGTGGATCCAATGCCTAAGCTTAGGGGCCAACCGCCGATGACTCAGGGCTCACCGCCCCCGAGAGCAGCCCATACGGGGCACCATGAAATTCACATCCTCAGGCATCAACCTACCATAAACAGACTAGCGTGCCACCGCCCGCTGCTGCTGCCCTTTTTCTCTCGCCTTCTCCTTTCTCCGTCTCGACTTCCCATTCTCCCTCCCAAGGCAAATCTTCAATTGAGATCAAACCCAGGATTTCCCCCTCAACTTTCCGTATCTAGGGCACCAAGCTACCCTTTTCCTCCCTCCACCCCCTCTTCAAGTTCTTCCGGTCCCAACCGATCAAGTCAAGTCAAACGTCAAGTCCAAAGAACAGGCAGGCAACTTCACGCTTTCCCTGAGTCCGTGACACATCAACCACATCCGTGCAGCTCGTCAAGTCCGATCAACAAACCACACCTACTTTTGTGTCATCAGTCTTTCAAGATGTCTGCTGCCGCCGAGAACCAAGCCGACAACCAGGCCCTACCACCACCGAGGCCACCAACGGTACTGCTCCTGCTCCGGCTCAGGCCACCGATGCTGCGGCGGTCAGTGCCGATGAGGGACGTCGGCTGTATATTGGGAACCTCGCTTATGCGACCACTGAGGGGGAGCTCAAGGAGTTCTTCAAGAACTACAAGATGTGAGTTGCGGCCCCTTCTGAGCTTCATTTCTTCTGTTCTCGCTTTGGATCCTCCAGTGTGCTAGTAGCTGCGGAACGGGTATCACAGCTACTACTGTTGGGGTAGATTGCCGCCACGTGTGTCACAGCACTGAGCACACCACCGCGCCACTCATTGGAAAAGCTACACTTGGCAACTGAATCGCTCTATTAAACTGAACTTTTTATTTTTTGTAATTGAACTCAAATTCTAACTCATGATTTCTCTGCAGCGAAAGCACCTCCATTCCTGTGAATCCCCGCACTAACCGCCCTGTCGGCTATGCGTTTGTGGATCTCGCCACTGCTCACGAGGCCACTGCTGCTATCGAGGAACTCTCCGGAAAGGAGATTCTTCAGCGCAAGGTCTCTGTTCAGTTGGCCCGCAAGCCAGAGCCTGCCGAGGCTAAGGCGGAGGGTGCTACAAGTGGCGGTGAGGGCGCCAGTGGCACTGAAGGCCGCAAGCGGGCAGGTGGTCGTTCCCGTGGTCGCGGTCGCGGCCGTGGCCGTGGAGGTCGCTTCGGTCGTGGAGGTCGCGTAAGTTTCCCTTGCACTTTGAACTGGTGTCCCGACCTCTTGCTGACAATATGACCAAGAACCAACAGAATGGTCCCGAGACTACTGAGGCTCCTACCAACGTTCCCGGTCAGGTTGACCCTCTGACCGAGGTCGCCAACGAGGCTACTAATGCCGGTCCTGCCGAGTCCGCTAAGCAGACTGGCAAGCCTCGTGCTCCTCGTCCTCAGAAGCAGCGTGGCCCCCCGAGGATGGCATTCCTTCCAAGACCAAGGTCATGGTAGCTAACCTGCCCTATGATCTGACCGAGGACAAGGTACCTATCTCTCTTGAGTTAAGCTAGCCCGGTTACTAACTCTCTCCCTCAGCTCAAGGAAATCTTTGCCGATTACCAACCTGTTTCCGCCAAGATTGCCCTGCGCCCCATTCCTCGTTTCATGATCAAGAAGCTCCAGGCCCGCAACGAGCGCCGTAAGGGTCGTGGCTTCGGTTTCGTCACTCTCGGCTCTGAGGAGCTCCAGGAGAAGGCCGTCAAGGAGATGAATGGCAAGGAGATTGAGGGTCGCGAGATTGCCGTCAAGGTCGCCATCGACAGCCCCGGCAAGGAGGATGACGCCGTCCCCACTGGTGAGCAGACTGAGGCTGCCGCTCCTGTTGCTGAGGAGCAGGAGAACACCCCCCAGCTGCTGCTTAAATGTCAAGATCGTTCCATTCCCGAACAGGTTTCGCGTTTCTCGGCTGACGAAAGTCAGTCGGGTGAGTGATGGTGGAGGGTGATGGCCAATGCGCATGGATAATTATATTCATAGGTAAGCATCGTGAAGATGCTCTTTTCGACAAAAGTTTTCTTTTTCTCGATTAAAAGAGGCCTGGGGAAAAGCTGTGGATATCGTTTCCGTTCGACTTGGTCAAAGGGGACGCAGCTCCGAATGATGATGATGTTTTTTCCTTTGTTTTATACGGGATAACCCAATTGGCATCCCTACCCGGAGAGACGACCAACGGCGTAGGATCTCGTGATGACGGGAGACTCGACCTTTTCTAACGAATCTTGCCTTTATTCGCTGTATTGTATCTTAGCCACCATTTAGCTTATGAAATATGCCGCAAGGCTGGCCTTGAATGTGTTCTTTCCAGTGTTTTTGTTGAATCATCAGTACCGAAATTATGGTATCCTATAGTGGAGTTTTGATTGCTTTGCGCGGTATCTTCCCCATGCTCTGTCATATGTGGTAGTCCCGACGGAGGCCTCTTGGCGCTCATTTCTCGATCAGGAGCCTGAGATCAAACAGTCTTCATCCTTGGGCGGATGGACATTATTTATTTGTTCTGACATATTTGGATCAATATATCTCTTGTCTGCTTATCATATATCATTGTCTAACCCATTGCTCTATTCTTCCAAATCTTGCATTGTGGCCACGATACATCTTTTGTGGAGGGGGCGGCTCGCCATTAACTTGAATTAGGGAGCCAACGACGGCTTGAACTCCAAAACACACCAGTGCGTTTAGGGGGTTGAGAGAACCATTGCCTTCTGATCTACTCTCCTTTCTATTATTGCCGTCCGTTTTGTGATTTACGCTACACACCATGTCTCGAATGTGGGAGGTTGATCCGGAAACGAAGGCCAAGGTACGCATCTGCCTCCTCGTTTGCGGCGATTGTGTCATATCGAGATAACCAGACTGACTTTGGTAATTTCTCTTATTAGCTTCTTCAAATCTCCAAGACAAATGGAAACGACAAATGTTGCGACTGCGGTGCTCCTTCGCCCCAATGGGTTCGTCCGCTCTTTGACCTCATCTCAGCCCCCGCACCATTGCTTCAATACACATAGCTGGATACGCGGACAGTAGTCTGACCTGGCACTCCTGTCTAGGCTTCTCCTAAATTCGGAACCTTCATCTGCCTCAACTGCGCCGGCACGCATCGTGGATTAGGTGTGCATATCTCCTTCGTCCGCTCCATCACCATGGACGCCTTCAAGACCTCCGAGATCCTCCGCATGGAGAACGGAGGCAACGACCCCTGGAAGACATTCTACGACAACCACCCTATCACGCAGTCCGAAGGCCGGACCTTCGAAGACTCAACCATCAAGGAAAGGTACGAAGGCGAAGTCGGCGAAGAATGGAAGGAGAGACTCTCCGCCACCGTCGAAGGCCGCGAATACGTCCCCGGCCAACCGAAGCCCAAAAAGCCAGCCGCGGAGCCATCCACATCTCGCTCGAGCACGCCATTCACGAACACAAGCATAAACAGGGGCAGCGGCGCCGGCTCCCCCGCCTCCCACGACGGTCTCGACCCCGCCGGCGCGAGCAGGAAAGACCGCAACGAGACATACTTCGCCAAACTGGGGTCCGAGAACGCAGCGCGCTCGGCCTCCCTGCCGCCCTCGCAGGGCGGGAAATTCACCGGCTTCGGCGGCGGCTTGCCCCCCACGGCAGCATCCAAGACATCCCCTGCGCGCGGGCCGGTGCCGGGCCTAGACGAGTTCCAGAAAGATCCCGTCGGCGCGCTAACGAAGGGGTTTGGCTGGTTTACGACGGCTGTTGGGAAGAGCGCGAAGACGGTCAATGAGATGTACATCCAGCCTACGGCGAAGACGGTACCCGCCCCTCCTTGGAAAGCTTTAGCAACTGCCTCATGGGAAGCGTAGGCTAATGTGTGTTTTAGATAGCTGAATCGGAATTCGCAGCCCAGGCGCGCCTCCAGGCTGCGCAGCTGGGCCAGAATATCCAGGTTGGTGCCCGTGGCGCCGCAGACCATCTGACTCGCTTCGTCGAGGGAGCCGATGAGGGCGCTGCGGCGGCGGCCCGGCGGCGCCAGGAGCCCGAGCGAAAGGATTTCTGGGATGAGTTCGCCTCGTTGGGGGAGCAGGATACCCACCGCCGGAATACGTCGCGGTCGAGTGCAATTGGGACAACGGCTATTCGGCCTAGTGGTGGTGGGCCGAGCGGGGGTCGTCTGGAGCCGGGTCGGGCAATGCGACGGGGACGGCGTCTTCGGGTGGGAGAGGGGTGACGAGGGAGGGTGGGATGATAATTGGTAACCTTTGGTTGGTGAGTATGTACACTCTGGAAGTGATTGTTCTGCGATGGTTTCGAGTACGATTGTCGTTTGGATGAGCGTCTTGTCTTGCTACGTTACATGCCAGCTGAGACGGCAGCATATCTTCATCTGCTATCCAGAAAGTACATACGCATACATCTTGTCATGAGTAGTAGAGTACGTAGTAATACAGTTTATAGTACAGCTGGGGGTGCGCTGGTGCTATCAATAAAAGCCTCCGCGTAACTCCGCCAGCACAGCCTTCTGTCGCTGGGCGCTCATAACCTCAAACCGATCCACAGACATCACGAACGTGCCCCGACCCGCACTCAGACTGCGGAGATGCTTCAGGTACCCCACCATCTCCTTCAGCGGCACCTTCGCCGTAATGGTGCGGGGCCGGTTCACCGCGGTGGGGATCTCGACGCCGACAGAGGGCGTCTCGAAGGGATCCGGGGCGCGTAGATCCGGCTCTGGTCGATGATGACGGGTTCTTCGGCGCCCGCACCCACGGGTGAGGCATCGGTAGCTGTGATGGGGATGTCCTCGTCGAGAGAGACGATGTGGCCGCCGCGGGAGGCGGAGATGTCGTGGACAATGGCGCCGAGACTGGCTTCGTCGACGCTGATGATGACGTTCATGACGGGTTCCATGAGCGAGGTTCCTGGACTTGGCTGGGTGGGCGAGGGGAGGAGGTCGCGAAGTGCGGCGGATGTGGCGAGGCGGGCTGCGGCGGAGAGGGCGGAGGGGTGGTGTCGGTGCCGAAGATGTGTGCGGCCGGGTCGAGGGTTAGTGTAACGCGGGTGCTGTGCATGGGGAAGGTGAATTGGGGCCCGCGGGCGAGGGCAGCCAGGCACCCGTTTTGGAGGGCTGTGCGCAAGGTGTGTGCGTCCAGGCCTGGTGGGAGGAAGGGGCTCTCCTCGGTGCCTTTCTTGGTGCGTTCAATTTGGAGGTCGGGAGCGAGGATGATGATTTGATTCCCGTCGCGGGTCTCGACGGCGAGAGCATCCGGTCCAGGGGCGGGTGATGTGTCTGGGTTGAATGGCTCGACTAGGGCCGTGCAGCCGGCTTTGCCCTTGCGGCCGGCAATCTCCTTGTCGAAGATCTTGGTTACGGCGGGAGACGGGCCCAGAGGCGTTTCGCGGTAGCCGATCTCGATGCGGCCCATGGTTGCCTTGGCCTTGAGATCGTTGATCAGGCGATCGCGCGCGATCTCCAGATGGAGCTCGCCCATTCCGCTCAGCAGGGTCTGCCCGGAGTCCTCGTCGACGGCCACATGGAGACTGGGGTCTTCTCGCAGGAGGAGCGCGAGACATTCCTGCACCTTCTTCTCTTCGCTCAGACTGTGTGGCTCTACGCTGGCGAAGAAGACGGGAGGCGGTACGTTGATGGGCCGCAACTGCAGGGTATTGAGCGGCTCTGGAGGTGTCGCTTTGTTCCCCGCGTAGGAGACGAGGGTGTCACCGGTCCGGGCGTGTTTAAGGCCTACCACGACGCCAATGTGTCCCTCGGGGATCGAATCCACCTCCACCGCATCGTTGGCGTACATTTTGAGTAAGCGCGGGGCGCGCTCCGAGACGGTGAGGTTGGTGTTGAACAGGACGCAGTTGCGATCCAGGGACCCAGAGTACACCCGTACATATACCAAAACACCTCGTTTGGCGTCGTTGACTACCTTGAAGGCCAGGGCGCATCCTTGCAGGTTCTTCATCACATTCTGGGACTCTGCATGCGCGACGGACTTCTTCTTCTGCTTGCCCTTTGGAGATGCGGTCTTTTCGCTCGACTCTACAAGGAGTTCGCCTGTGAGAAGGCGCTGCAAGCCTCCCTGAACCCCTCCAATGCTGACCTCTGGATCGGGGGCCTCGATCGGGCTCGGAAGGAGGTTCACCACGGCATCTAGCAGGGGCTGGACTCCGATGTTGCGGAAGCTGGCGCCCGCAAAAATGGGGACGATGTTGCTTCCTGGCTCCTCGATGAGACATCGCCGCAGGCTCTCCAGGATGTCTTGCGGAGGGACGGCAAGATGATCCTCATCGCATTCCAGGAACTTCTCCACCATTGCCTCGTCGTGCTCGCTCAGCAGTTCGACAAGCGCTATACGGGCACGTCGGAGCTCCTTACCGAGTTGGGCCTCCTCGGCATCTAGCTGCGCAAGGCTCAGCATCTTGACCACCTTGCCGTCTCCTTCTTGCCATCGAAGGCCTTGTAGGTTGATCGCGTCAGCTACACCGACAAAGCGACCATCGCCGTTTTCAAACCACGGAATCTGGCACACAGCCGGGAAGGCCCCTAGTCGGGAGCCTACCTCTCTGACCGTCCGCCCAAATGCAGCCCCATCTCTGTCTAGTTTGTTAACATAGACAATCCGGGGGATGCGATAGGTGCTGGCTTGGTGCCAGACTCGCTCCGTCTGCGCCTCGACACCAGCTACACCGTCGAGTATGCATACTGCGCCATCCAAGATGCGCAACGATCGCAGAACTTCAAATGTAAAATCCGCGTGTCCAGGAGTATCAATCAGATTAATCGTATGCGATGTCACAGATCTTGGGTTCTGCACTTGTGGTTTACCACTCTCCTCAGCTGTTGGCGGCCAGTGGAAGGTAATGGCCGCCGATTGAATGGTGATTCCTCGGGCACGCTCAGCAGGGAGAAAATCAGTGACTGTAGATCCCTCGTCCACATCTCCTATCCTTCTGGTAAAGCCACTATAATAAAGCATACGCTCTGTGGTGGTCGTCTTGCCTGCATCAATGTGGGCTATGATACCAATGTTCCTTGTTCGGTCCAGAATCTTCTCTTGCCATCTTGATGTAGATGTCGAGAAACCCTTTGATTGATATTGACTCCGAAGCAAACATATCTTGTCAGAGATCGTGGTTCGTCCTGTTCCCAACCCAAGGCGCTTGGCAGCATCACCAGCTGCTCTAGGACGATTGGATCGCACCGCCTGGGGAAAGCTGCGCAGGAAAGGAGCTGCAACCATGACCGGATATCATTGGCAGTATATTCTCATTCAATTGGAAGTATCCATTTCATTTCAGACTAAATGAAGGGAAAAGAGAAAGGAATAGAGGAGATGATGCAAACTGCGCGAGGGAGAAGGTTCAGAGTGGGTGGTACATCACTCTTCTCTCAAGAAGCAGATCAGTGAGTTGAATGCCTGGCCAATCAGGCGCCGATCCTCCCCAGCGACGTAAGGCAGTACTACTCTACCTCCGCCCCCATCTTCAACGCTTCCCTCTCTAGGCAGAGCTCGTCTCCTCATTTTCTCCACGTTGTGACGGCTTTTCTTTCTCGCTTGATCCTTCCAAATACTTCAATCGGTTTTCTTAAGGGTCTACAGGTATTGTTATATCGATTCGGTTTCACCCCCCTTGGTCGTCGTCTGAACTAACAAGGTCGCGCCCGCAGCTCCGTGTAGACGTGGTTCCATCGGAGCCAGAAGACTACCCAATCCGCCTGAGGCATACATAACATCCCATGGACTACTCGGCCATAACTCAGGACCCGGATCATCCCTCGGGCTCTGATCCCTGGGCATCTCCTCGAGCGACTCAGACGTCTTACACTGCATCCAACAACAATGATATTCCCTCCTCGCCGCTACCCCCGCACCTTCAGCCCGGTTACAATGGCGACCAGGAGGGCGATGACTCCGGACCAAGATCGTCCGAGAACGGAGCCCCAGACTCGCCTGATCTATCTGCGCGACTTCAAAGTGCGCAATTAGGAGACCCTGACTATGCTGTTGAGCAGCCACCGTACGCTACACAAGCCAAGTATACGAACGAGCCTCGGTCTCAGCTCCCCGCGCGCTATCAAACCGGAGCCAGACTGAATGCCAGAACTGGGCCTGCGTATAAGATCCAAGCTAAAATTACGGGACTGGAGAGGACCGGGAAGAAGGATCCTATCCTACGATTTGATGTCCATGTAAGCGGTGTTCTTGTGGCACACTGTTCGCCTGCAGCAATAAACTGACGCTGGCCATCAGACAAATGTCCCCAAATTTAGGACGACACAGTACCGAGACGTTCGGCGTACCCATGCCGAGTTCGCAAAACTAGCAGACCATCTGATCTCCGCGAACCCGGAGGTTCTCGTCCCCGCAGTGCCGCCTCCATTGACCCCCGCCGGGGCAGGAACCGAAGAAGACGAGATCCGAGTCAAGGCATCGATGCAGCGGTGGCTGAACATCGTTATGAGCAATGAAATTCTTATGCAGGATGATGAGGTGGTTCTGTTTGTCGAAAGCGACTTTGGCTACAGTCCCGTCGTTCGAATGAAGCAGCCTGCAACAGGTGTTCGGAGAAAGGTCCTGAAGCAGTTCGCCCCGCCGCCTGATGATACCCCTGAACTGCAGGATGCTCGGCCTATTGTGAAGATGTTCTACCTTGGAACTATGGATGCCAGTCATAAGGTTGACCGCGTGGTTAAGGCTCGTCGAGGTAGGTGGCTTGATGTCTCTTTGGCTGGAAGAAAATTCACTAATACAAGTTCCGCTCAGGACTCGGCCTCGCTGAATCCGATTTCGGCGTCAAATTAGGGCAGATGCACGTGCAGGAGACACACCCCGGCCTAGCTAATGCCTTCAAGAAATTGGGAAGGGTTATACAAACGGTTGGAGACTTCCACGCGGTCCAGGCGACCGCCGAGGCGACTACTCTTGAAGATCCCTTGAGCTATCATTCCTCAGATGCCTTTATTGTTAAGGAAACACTGACTAATCGGCACATCCTTCTGCGCGAGCTCATCCAAGCTCAGCAAGCCACACGCAGCAAGCGTGCAGCTGCGGACCGACTGAAAGTCAGCTCGTCCGTTCGGTCAGATAAGGTCGACGAAGCCATCAACGCCCTGGACGAGGCACAGAGCCATGAGGACTATCTGACCAAGCGGACACAACGCGTCACTTCGAACCTTCTTCTGGAGAAGCGTGCCTGGTTTGAGCGTACCTCGAACGATATGTTGAACAGTCTGCGCGAGTATACCCTTCGCCAGATCGAAGCGGAGCGGAGAACTTTGGCGACTCTCGAAAGTGTTCGTCCGGACATTCGGTCTATCGACTCATCCGGTGGACTTAGCCGCCTAGGTCGTGAAGCACACCCGGCTGTCCGCCGGGTAAACCTCGCTTCCAGTCAAGGTCCTAAGGGTGACGCATGGAGTGGGGTTCCGCGCCGTAGTGACAGCCTCGGACGCAGCATGAGTGGTAGCTTCGTTGCTCCGGCAGCAGACGAGGACGACGAGACTAACGGGCAAGGCATCGCCAAAGGCCGATTGCGGTCTCCCAGCGGCGTTGGCTCGATCGTGGCGGACGATGACGAGGACCGGCTCGACGCCAAGAATGCCGCCAGTCGATTAGCCACCAGTACATTTTGATCTATTTCTGTAGATTATGGACATGATGTTGTTAAGATTCCCCTGTGACAACTAGTTTACTTCTGTGGTCCTTGCCTAGGCCAGAGCGCGCCCTATTTGAGTTCCAGATGAATTACGCCCGTCGTTGACACTGTATTTGTTCTGTCTGTACAACACAAAGAGTAATCTCCAGCCGTATCTGACATGCTCAGCTCGACTTCGTCTGCAAGTTCTCCAAACTCTCAGCCATGTCCGGCGAAAACTGATCCCACCGCTCAGCGCCATCATCAGGCAGATCAAACCACGCCACCTTCTCCTGCAGAAAGAGATAACAAGACGGTTTCGGGATCTTCGCTTGATGCGCACTGTCAATGGACCCCGTAGTCACACTCAGAAGCTCGGGCTCGTAGTCATACTGCATACTAACGCTCGATCCGCACTTTGGACAGAACCCGCGGGTCGCAAAGGCACTGGATCTCCGGAATGAGGGCAACTGGTTCTTGTCCCAGGTGAGGGAGCCTGGAGCAAAGGTCGCCCAGCTCTGATAAGGTGCGCCGGATTGTTTGCGGCAGGTGGTGCAGTGACAATTTGTCACGTTTGACGGGGGCTGGCTGGCCGTGTACGTGATATGGTGGCAGGCACAGCTTCCTGTGATGAGGTCGGATGGCATTTTGTGAGAAGGTCGGGGTGTTGTTCTGTGCTGTCCTCTTCGGTTGCTGATAAACTGGGGATTATTTACATTTTTTGAACCGTCAAGATAAGATCCATGGGTTGAAGATTTGGAGGATGCTGCTTTTATCAAACTAATTACCGTGGTAGACGTCATGAGGGGTCATCCTCGTGTTGTACGGAGTACTTCTGACACATCCTTGTATCATGTCATGTCTATCGACGATACCTTAGGTAGCACTGAGTTCAAATGCAATGCTGTCCAAACAGGCACTCCACTTCCAATCAGCTTGTTCACTAATGTTATACCCGAGCAATCATTTGGAGTGTTGATGCTCTTCTCTGGAGTTCTGTCGACCCCCGCTCCCCACTTCTGGACAGCTCTCGAAGCTCTGATTGAGTCCTGTGCGGCAACGAGGGTCCATCTTAACGCTTGATTTGAAAGCAAGGGTGTGCGTGTAACTTGGAAATGCCCATAAATTGCATTATTATGAATTCTTGCAGGTCTATATAAGTGTGGTTGGGTTCCCACACGTGTCGCTCGCAGCGTTGCTGTCTTAATTACTCCAAGCTATTTAGAGACATCGGAGAAAGATTCAATATGGCTCCAAAGGTTTTTCTGTATGTTTAACCGCCCAGCCTATTTTGATGATACTTACCTTTAACCCCGTTTTCCAGCACAGGTGTCACCGGGTACATAGGTGGAGATGTCTTCTATGCGGTCTCCCAAGCACATCCTGACTGGCAGATTTCTGTTCTGGTTCGCAACAAAGAAAGAGCGGCTCAAGTGGCCAATAAATACCCCAATGTCCGAATTGTGCATGGAGACCTTGACTCCGCCGATGTGATCGAGGAGGAAGTCAAGAATGCAGATATCGTCTTCCGTACGTGAATATCCTTGTTACTACCGACCGTGGACTCACGACGTACAGACTGCGCCGACTGCGACCATGTTGCTTCTGCCACTGCTATCGCCAAAGGCGCTACCCACCACACACCTGAGAAGCCCCTCTGGGTAATCCATACATCTGGCACCGGCATTCTGACTGTCGAAGACTTCCGCGCCAACACCTGGGGCATCGAGCGCACCAAGGAGCATAACGACTGGGACGGAGTAGACGAGCTGGTTAACCTGCCCGACGACTCCCTCCACCGGAATGTCGACAAGATCATTATCGGGGCCGGCCAGCGCGCTCCCGACAGTGTCAAGACCGCCATTGTTTGCCCCCCTACCATCTACGGCCTCGGCCGCGGTCCCGGCAACCAGAAGAGTGCCCAGGCCTACTGGCTAGCTTCTGCAGTCCTGAAAAGGAAGAAGGGCTTCCTCATCGGCGAGGGCAAGAATACCTGGCACCAGGTGCACGTCCAGGATCTCAGCAATGTGTACCTGGCCCTAGGGGATGCCGCGGCGGCAGGAGGCGGCAAGGCCACCTGGAACGAGCAGGGGTACTACCTCGCCGAGAACGGGTCGTTTGTCTGGGGTGATGTTTCGCGTGCTGTGGCCAAGGTGGCTTACGAGAAGAAGCTCATTCCGTCTCCCGATGTTGAGCCATTGTCAGACGAGCAAATCACGGAGCTGAATCAGTATGGGCTGTATGCTTGGGGGAGCAACTCGCGCGGCCATGCCATACGCGCGAGGAAGCTGTTCGGCTGGTCGCCTCAACAGCCTAGTCTGATGGACCTTATCCCTCAGATTGTGGAGATTGAGGCTAAAGCTTTGGGACTGATGTAAGTGTCAGAACGGTATACATGATCAACATGATTTACGAATATGCTTTTTGCGTTGGATGTGTGGTTGTAAATGGACAACAACAGACTGCGGTCGTCTCTTTTCTTTTCAAATAGGCGTTCATAGCAAAATGACTCCGTAAATAAAAGCAAATTTGAATAAGGAAGCTATCGTAGTAAAAGAGGGAGAAAATAACCCACAATGGCGGCGGGATAACCTAAAAAGCTTAGCGCCGAGAATGACCTTAAGCGACCCAAACGCGCCAATCGCTCTGTAGCCGCGATCCTCCTGCAAGCTTGGAATTACGTTTTGCTTGGAGCTCTCTGCAGTTCTTTGTTCGATTCAGCCAGCAACACCAACTCGTCTCCGCACTATTTACCACCGCAGGTTGTCCTCCCGATCGTATATTTCTCTTCATCTCATATATGCATTTCTGCTTTTACTGGTTGCTTTGACTTCTGGCATGTACTGACAGTTTCACCTACAAAGACCCGCTCCATGAGTTGCGACCTGTCGGTAATTTCGCGGTTTTCTCTATGAGGTGTTAGATTGGACGAAGCTGTCATGGCTCCAGGTGCCGGAGGAAAGAGGAAGAGAGGCGACAGATCGTGGTCTGGCGACTCCGGCAACGACGGGCTACGGCCATCCCCCCACCGACCGGGCAATCTCAACATGGCGCAACACAATCACGGCTCGCATTCAAATCACCCTCGCGACTTTCCTGAAACGCGCGGTCGCATACGAAGACAGTCTAGTCGAGGCGGGAGGAATAGTAATAATCTCAGCCGACGACCTAGCAATGACATTCCCAACGTCAATACTGGACAAAAGGATACGGCCATGTCTCCGCCTGCCAGGGAGATGCCTGACGCGAGCCAGACAAACGGGTTTTCACCGACGGTACCAGCAGCTAGTATACTGCCTTCGCCGTCTCCTGCGCCAAGCTTACAGCAAACGCCCGCACAAGCGCAGGCATCCCCGAAGCCTCAGTCACAGTCACTGCCGTCGCCTGCGCCTCCCGTCAGGCCTCCGCCGGGTCCACCGCCGCCTTACGATTACGAATATGTCACGGATAGGGTAGTTGAAGATTGGACGTCAACAGGAAGACAGAAGGCCATTACGGATGGCGTGCAGGCGAGGGACCAGGAAGATGCGTCGACACTGGCTTCGATCTACCAGGAAATCATCCGATCTGCATTCTACGGCCGGTTGTCGCCCACGGACGCCGGATCGGTGATCAAGGAGATTCTTGGTGAAGAGGTTGCAGCTCAAGATATCGATATGGTTGACGACGGGCAACCCTCAGCAGTTCTCGACACACGCTCTTTGTTCTTGGACACCCTGTCCATTCTTACTGATGCCGATCCTAGCAATCCTGCATTGAGACCGTTGGTTTTCTCCACAGGAATCAATGCAGCCCTTCTGCGCCTCCAACTGGAAACTCCTGTCCTTCAGACGCTGGGTCTTGTTCGTGATACCTTCACCCGCATCGGCATTCGTAAACAAACCAATCTTCTGTACCGACAGTCCAACTACAATTTGCTGCGGGAGGAGTCGGAAGGGTACTCCAAGCTGTTGACCGAGCTATTCACCACTAGCAACAACGAACCACCCACCAGCGAGGTCGTTGAAGATACCTTCGAGAGGGTTAAGGCTATGATTGGAGCCTTTGATATGGACGTTGGCCGAGTTTTAGATGTCACGCTCGATGTCTTCGCCGCTGTGCTTGTGAAACAATATCGATTCTTTGTTAAACTTCTCCGAGTTAGCTCCTGGTGGCCCAAGGACGATATTTCCCGCACCCTTGGTGGCGATGACCGAGATTCTGGCCTACCGAATTGGGCACTACCAGGTTCCGCGGGGTGGGCCACAACGGACGAGGAGCGAGCTGAGATCATGCGAGCCAATGAGCAGCGAGACCGCGAGTTTTGGAACAGAGTCAGAGAGATTGGTATTCGAGCATTTTTCGAGATTGGGCGGAAGCCGATCTCCGAAGACGAGAGGAAGCGAATATTTCCAGAAAGCACGAATCTGTCAGAAGAAGAGATGGAAACACGGAAATGGATCGAAGAGACAGGGACTCTACCCCCCAAAGGGAACAGGGTCGCAGCGCAGCTTCTTGGCTTCAAGCTCCGCTTCTACTCGTCGAAGGCGCGGGACAAGTCAGATATCCTTCCCGACAACCTCATCTATCTGGCAGCCCTTCTGATCAAAGTCGGTTTCATTTCGCTTCGCGACTTGTACCCTCATCTCTGGAGACCTGACGAATTGATGGACGAGCTGAAGGAGGAGAAAATGAAGGAAAAAGCAGAAAGAGAAAGAGCTGCGCGGCCGGGTGGAGGTGTAAATGCTTTGATGATGGCTGGTGCTCTGTCAGACGATACGTTACCAATACCACGCATCCGCGAATCAGAACAACGGTCATCCACTCCTGCAAAGGACCAAGAAGCGGACAAAGCAACTCCACAGAAGACAGACGAAGATGAGCTGCCAGAGCCCTCGGACCAGAAGGTCATGCTGTTAAAGAGCCTGCTCGCCATCGGAGCCCTCCCAGAGTCTCTTTTTATCCTAAGCAAATTTCCTTGGCTTATGGACGCCTATCCCGAACTCCCCGAGTACATTCACCGTATCTTGCATCACAGTCTGAGCAAAGTGTATAACTCATTGCGTCCCTTACCGACGGTCGAGGAGCTACGGGAACAACAGCAGATACCCAGCCAAGACCAGGGAGGTCTGGCAAAAGGACAGATTCGGTTGACTTCGGCGCCTCCAAGACGAGTCCTTCGCTGGGCTCAGCTCGACAAGGACGACACGAATGATGGGACCGACTATAGATTCTATTGGGACGATTGGGCCGATAATATCCCAGTCTGCCAATCTGTTGACGATGTTTTTGCTCTTTGCTCATCGCTTCTGAATGTCTCTGGGCACAAGATTGGACTTGACCCCAGTCTGCTAGCTAAGCTGGCGAGAATTGGCAAGTTCAGTCTCACTCAAGATGACTCACCTGAGAACAAAGCACGCTGGCAGGATCTCTGCAAACGTCTCCTGGTGCCTGCGATCAGTTTGACCAAGGCAAACCCCGGTGTTGTGAATGAAGTTTTCGATCTCCTTGGATTCTTCCCCAGAGCGACAAGGTACAACATCTACGCGGAATGGTATTCTGGACAGACTTCTCGACTCCCGGATATCAAGTCGGCTTTTGATCAAGCAAGAGCCGAGACAAAGGACGTTCTCAAGAGGTTGAGCAAAACAAACATACGACCGATGGCGCGTGCATTAGCAAAGATTGCCTTTGCAAATCCCGGTATTGTTATCAACGTCGCCATTAGTCAGATCGAATCCTACGAGAATCTTATTGAAGTTGTCGTGGAGTGTGCGCGCTACTTCACATACCTCGGATATGACATCCTCACCTGGGTCCTAATCAACTCGCTTGGCCAAAAGGGACGAAGCCGAGTGCAAGAAGGCGGGCTGTTGACCAGTCGATGGCTAAACGCGCTCGCAACATTCGCAGGCAGGACCTATAAACGCTACTCTATCATGGATCCTACCCCTGTTCTTCAGTACGTCGTTGAACAACTTCGGCAAAACAACTCCACAGATCTTATCATTTTGGAGCAGATGATTAGCTCCATGGCTGGTATCATCACGGATACAAACTTCAACGACGCGCAGATTCAAGCTATGGCCGGTGGCGAGATTCTCCAGTCACAGACCATCCTACAACTACTGGACAAACGGCACGAATCAAAAACAACTTCGAAACGACTGATGAAAGCCCTGACTGTGTCGAAGCTGGCCGGACAATTGCTTGTTGCAATCGCCCAGGAACGCTGGACGTGTATCTACAAGGCGACGGAGGGAGATTCCGAACTTAAGTTACTAGGCAACATCTTCGACGAGATTCATCGCATCCTAGCGCAGTATCTGGATCTCCTACGCAGCAATCTGTCGGTGGATGAGTTCGATTCTTTTGTTCCCGACCTGGCTTCTCTCATCAAGGAATTTGGTATTCAACCTGAGATTGCGTTCTGGATCCGCCGGCCCAGCGTTTCCCGCAAGGTTGCGGATGCTGAGAAGGCAATGCAAGAGGAGGAAGCAGCAGCAGCCGCTGCGAGGGCTCGCGAGATCGAAGCAGCGCCCATCAAATCCGAGGATGACAAAATGGAAACGACAGATGAGGGTGAAATGAACGGCAATGCAGATGAATCAGTCGAGAACTCTATGGAGGTTGACCAGGAGCAAGCAGTGGCAACAATCGAGGGAGACAGCAACCCTGCTCCGGGGCAGTTAGGGCAACAGATATCCTCTAGTCCAACTTTGAACCCAGTGATGCAGGATCTCGAGGATCAGGTCAAGTCTGTACTGACGCCTGATACTTGGGGAGTGGTCGGTCTGCATTTTTACGTCATCTTCTGGCAATTGTCACTTTACGACGTACATATCCCTCAGAAGGCTTACGAAGACGAAATCGAACGTCAGAAGAAAAAGGTCATGGCCATCAACAGCGATCGATCTGACATTAGCATGGCCGGCACTCAGCGAAAGGAAAGAGAAAAGAAGCAGATAACCCAACTCCAGGAACGCATCTTGGAGGAAAACAAGGCTCATCTGAAGGCTTACGGTCAGACAAGAGCAAGGCTACAAAAGGAAAAGGACCGGTGGTTCGCCGGCATGCGCGGGAAGCATGATTCCCTCAACGTCAGCCTGCTGGAACAATGCTTCCTGCCCCGTTTGCTGCTGTCACCCATCGATGCGTTCTACTGCTTTAAGATGCTCAAGTTCCTACACACGTCCGGCACACCTAACTTTCGTACTGTTGGGCTGTTAGATCAGTTGTTCCGCGAGCAGAGACTTACCGCCTTGATTTTCCAATGCACCTCACGCGAAGCGGATAATCTTGGCCGCTTCTTGAACGAGGTCATTCGCGACCTCGGCCGCTGGCACGCCGACAAGGCTGTGTATGAGAAGGAGGCCTTTGGTACGAAGAAAGACCTGCC